CCCCAAAACCCCAAAACCCCTAAATTCAAATAAAGTATCAATAAATTATCAAATGAAATAAGAACTTATTTATATAATTTCAATCAAAATAAAAAGTTTTCAAAATTAAATCTCGTTTAAATATAACAATCAATGAATCAACATAAAATAATAAATTAAGTAATTTATCGCAATTTCCTGAAAATTTCATTATCAAAGGTCGCTAGGATTAACTTTAACTGTGTTCTTTTTCTATAATGGTTTTTGCCTTATAATATCTTAGTGATTATCGTTTAAAATGCTTAGGTCATCTTTAAAGTTTATTTTTAAGATTGTATTCTGTTACTAAGCATCTGGTCGTATATTTCCTCTGGTATCAGATTCCTAACTCTCACGATTTGATAGAATGAAATTCTGCAGCTTTTGCTTGTGATTTTTAAAGAATTTTTGGTTAGTTTCATTCATCCCCAAAGTCTACTTGAAATGAGAATTAAATATCTTCTTCTACTCTCCTGTATTATCTTTCAAGTTTCTTCCAAGCTTTAGTTCAATCGAATCATCAAAATTTATTGACTGCCTTTTTTGCTGTGAGCCTTCATCTGCATTCAAAATTTGTCTATGGAATAAGATATCAGTATTTGGTTTCATTATGTTAATGCTTTTCTAGCCTTTATTGTCTTAAATATTGCCAATATTTTTATAATCTTTGTCTTCAGAGGGAGTTTAATTTTCTTAGTTTTAGTTTTCTATGTTATCTAGTGTAAATGATTCAATATTAAGATTGCTTTATTCTTTGTATTGTAATTCTCTTTCCCTTTCTTCCATATTTTCATGAAGGAATTTTTAGAAAAATGTGGTCAATGATGGTCTTATATGATCTTTAGATAGAGTCAAATTACTTTCTGTTATTTCCAGTTTTTCATGAGTTTGAGAACGTTGTCTTTTAATTTTGATGAACTTTAGAATTTCATAGATAATTACTGATACATAAGCAAAAACATTTCCAGCTACTATAAAAATAACTATTCCACAGAATAACCAAGCAGCTTCTACTTGTACATTAGTACTAGTCACAAACTGCGTGAATACAAAGCATAAGTATTGCTAGAATAAATATGAAATTTCATTAAACAGTTCAATCAAATCAATATATCTATACTCATTAGGTTTTTGTACTATTAAAAAGCTGATAATGACCATCGAAAATGCTAGTTGAAGAAAAATTTAAGTAGCAAAAGCATAATTAGTTATAGAGAATCCTATTAATAATCTTCTCGTAAAAAATAAGAATAAATATGCATTAAATTGAATTCTGTTCTAACGAAGGTTGCATATTTTATTTGTAAATGAATTTAATAGTCTTAAGATATAATGCTTGTTCATCTATTCTAATAATTTACCATTATACGATTGGCAAATAACTATGTATCCCATAAATGTAGGCGTTAATATCAATACAATTAGGGCAAAGGCAGATAGTGCTACATTTAATTTATCTTATGCGGTCTAAGGATCATCTTGATACTTTAAAATATAGAAAACCATAATTGAGGCTATCATGTAACCTTCAATAAATAGCCTAGTAAACCATGTATAGTATAATCCCTTTGTAATTTTTAAATAAATCAAATAAAAGTTAGTGCGTTTTAAATCATCAATGGATTATTTTCTTACTTTAACAATAAGACTTAGAATAATAATGATTGATTTGTCAATAGCAATTAAGATTATACCAAAAGCACTTATTAGTAGTATAAATTGCAATTGAGAAATAAGCTAAACGCTATTATATCCCATGAGTTTGAATTTATTTAGTATAACATCGTCATTAGAACTTGATTCTTCGAGTAGTCTGGAGGCTAAGACATTCTATTGCTGTGAATTTTAGACTTATGGTATCACATTAAAGGTGTTAAAATCTTTCATATACTGATTGAAATATTATGCGTTTGATGGCATGTCTAAATCAAATAGAGCCAGATTAGAAACCTGCTAAACATTATTTACTAATGACCAGACTGCACCAGATGCCGACAACCTATAGAATGCTATTGAAAGTAGATAATTACAATAATTAGGATGAAACCACACTAGTATATATTGAAGCTGTAACTACGTGAGAAGCACTTTCTCCTCTTTACTGAACTGCTTATGCATCATCTAAAAATATTATAATCAAAATTGAGCAAAAAATCTGATTTTTCAAAATTGGTCTTACTTTTTCCAATTTATTTGGGTAACTATTATAAGAGTTTAGATACACCTCCAAATAGGGACATATCTATCAGTTGATTGTTTTGATCTTTATAGAACAAATCAACTTCAATGTAATCTGCAGTCTATATAAAGTAAATATTTTTCTAAAGATCAATACCTCTTGAGTAGAAATGTTATAAGGATTGTCAAAATTAATCTAAATAGTTATTTCTCCGTTTCCATCCTTTACTACTGTCCAGTTTTGTATTTTTTGAGAATCTTGCTATGACAGAATCGGCTGGATTTCTATTTCATTGAATTTACCAGTTGAGCTATTAAAAGTCACCTAATTATTAAGCTGAATGACTACTTCTCCTTTTTTATTCAAACTTTAAATGGATGCTTTAAATTGACTTGATAGCATCTAAACCTCTTTTGAGGGAATGTAAGTTGGAGCAGCAGGGGTTGTTGTGGGTATTGATATAGTGCTGTTCTTCACCGTACTATTTGAAGAAGTGCTGCTCTTATTCAATGCATCATTTACTGGTTTGACCACAGTTAGCTTTATCTTGTAAATACTTTTTGAAGTGGGATATCCATTGTCTGTTAGGTTCAATGTCAATAAGTGATCTCCAGCATCCAAAGTTGTTGGACTAGCATAAATTTTTGAATTTTTAAGAGCAATGAAGTTCTAATTTCTATCTAAGCTTAATGCAATTACAACTGTATTTTTTTCTTTATCAAACACCAAAGGAAGTGGGTAGATTAGCTGCTGTCCAGCGACTACTAAAAGATTATATGGTTTTAATCTGAATATTGGAGGTGAATTAGTCATTAGAATATTTATTTTATTATTCAAAGGTGTTTAAGTAGAAGTAATTACTATCACTTTCGTTTAAGTTGCAGTTTATGAATATTGAGTATCTTAAGTAGTAGCTGCCGCTGTTGTTGATTCTTAAACTGTCTGTGGAGCAGGTGTAGTAGTAAGACTCTAAGAATTTTATATGCTAGTGATAGGAATTGATGTGGTTAATTATTCTGTAATTTCTTCAGTAGTAGAAGGTGCTGAAGTAGAGCTTTATGAGACTGATGTAATTGGTACATTTGAGTCAGTAGTAATATGAGTCATAGAAAAGTCTGTAGTATCTTCAGGAATTGGAGTAGTTGTATCTGTTTATATTTGAGTTTATGTTGAAGTGGATTCAACAGTTGTGGATTATTCCTCAGTTGATATTGAAGTTTATGTAGATTATGAAGTTTATTCTATTGTCGTTTCTGTAGTAATTTCATCATAGGTTACTTCAGGAGCCACAGTAGAAGTAGATTATTCTTAATAGTTAGTTAATTAAGTTTAAGTTAATGTTGAGTCTAAAAATATTTCAGTTGGTGCTATTGTATTTGTTGTTTCACTTGTCGATTAGGTATCTATTGAAATTTCAGAAATTCTTATTCCTGTTGTCAATACATTAGTTGAAGGTACAGAAGTAATTTCGGTTGAATTTTCAGATATAGGTGTATCAGTTGTCATTTAAGTTTCTACAGTAGTTTCTTTGGATGTTGTTACTATGTTTATACTATTTTATGTAGTAGTGATCTCTTGTTATAAAGTTGTAATTTCTGGTTCAGGAGTAGTAGAATATTAAGCAGTAGGAGATGATGTTAATGTAGTTTATGATATTTCTGATTAAGGTATTGATGTTTCACTAATATTTGATATTTAAGGTTCTAAAGTAGTGAGGGTAAGTATGGTTTCATTTTCTGTTGTTATTGTGGACGAAGTAGTAGTTATAGTTGTGATCTCAGGAGAGGGTGTTGTTGTAATTTCTGTTTCTGCTGTCGTTTAGGCAGGAGTGATTTATGTGGTTTCTGTTTCAGATGTAGTAGATGATGTAGTTGTTTCTGCAATAGTTTCATGCTCAGATGTGGCTGATGTTGTGGTTATTGTCATCTCAGGTTCAGGAGTGGTTGACATTGTCGTTGAGGTTGCTGTGGTGTCAGGTTCTGGTGTGGTTGATGCTGTAGTTGTTGTGCTATCATGTTCTGGTGTGGTTGACGTAGTAGTTGTCGTGATGTCTGGCAATGGTGTGGTTTTTGAATTAGTTGTTGTGGTTTCAGGCTCTAATGTAGTTGTAGAAGTAGTAGTTGTTATGGTTAAAGTAGTAGTTGCTGTGGTTGAAGTAGTTTCAGTTTCTGGGGAAGTTGATGTTGTAGTAGTTGTTGTTGTATCAGGTTCTGGTGTGGTTGACATCGTTGTTATCGTGATTTCTGGCAATGGTGTGGTTTTTGAAGTAGTTTTTGTGGTTAAAGTAGTTGTAGTTGTCGATGTAGTCGTAGTTGTAGTTGTAGTTGTGAATGCAATAACATTTATTCAAATACTCACTTCATCATTGAATTACTAAGCTATAGCGATATCAGAATAGTCAAAAATACCACTTAAAGTAGCCTTAAAATTCACTTCATATTGCCCAGCATTATTATTATCACTTGAATCTACAGTAATCTTCATTGTTGAAGGATTAAATGAAATATAAGAGGGGAGTGAAATAGAGCCAGACTAACTTTTCAAATAAGCTTGAACAGAAATTTAGTATCCACAATAGTGTGAATATTGTAGTATCATATCTAGCTCTTTAGGGCCTTCTCCTACATTATAATGATAATTACTTAATCCAACAAAATTAGCAACAATAGAGTACACGCAAGAAATTTTTACAGGAAATGAAATAGCAGTAAATTTAGTGTTATCATAGAAGTTATAATATTTAACTGTTACTTGATAATCTCCTTTGTGAGATAAGTTTGAAGAAGATATTACTATGCTAGTACTATTGTATGTTATTGCAGCAACATCAGGCACGATTAGAACTGAAAACTGACTAGGATTATTGCATATTGACTTTATCACATAAGCATTTAATTTCAATACAATAGAAGGTGATCCAATACTATAAGTAGTCTAAACTAATTAAGGATTAGTCAAGTAATCCTTGTAGCAATCTAGCATTCTTATTTTATATCCTACGCTCAAATTTTACCCACTAGGATAAGTACATCTTAGAGTATAATTACTCTAAATCTCTTGGAACAAAGTTTATTAAAGGGAGAAGTTATCGATATTATTGAATACAAAAGGTAAATTTCCAGCACTTAGTGAAGTTATTGAATAAGTCCTACCTCTATCCATGCAGTTCTCATCACCTAAAAAATACGAAGAAAGATTTTTAAGGTAGTTTCCTGATTGCATAACATATGTTGAGACAACGCCAGTAAAATTATTATAAAACCAAAGCTTTGGTATTGGATCGCAAAATTTAGTATAATTGGTACTGTATAGAGATATATTCTAAGCTAATAAACTAAAGTTAGTGGATCTACTAAGCTTAAAAGTAGTTGTTGATATTAAACTAACTCCTAGATTAACATAGGAAAGATCATTGACAGCTGCCAAAGTTCCAGAAGTAATGATTGGCTGCATATTAAAAGTAGAGCACGATAAAGATATATCAGATGACATTATATAGGTGAAGTATTTAATGTTTGAGAGTTTAGAATAAATAGTAGCTCCAATATAGTAAACTGAATAATCTGGCAATATTACACCATCATAGATTCTGTAGTTAGAGATATATGTAAATTCATATCTTGTCATTGATGCTCCAGCTGAGGACATGTCATAAATTCTAATCAAGTGGTTTTTATACAAAGTTTTTGACTCTAAGGCCAATACATAGAAAGATGTTACTGATTGTACTCTCAGATCCAGACATCTAGGACTTTCAAGGATTTCCACGAAAACCTATGAAGCAATTGTATAGTCAGCGTTTACTACAAGGCGATAAAATGCAAATCTGATTTCATTTGGAGTAATCTTAGTGTAAAAAATGGGCTAGCAACCAAAAATATTGTCTTAAGTGCCAGATCTTAATACAGTTATTGATCTTTGAATTGAGCTATCAAGTGTTTGAGCTCGAGTAATGTTAATTGAGTAAGCATATTGGAGAGTGCCGGTGTTAGTTGACATTCTCTACACTGTCGGAAAATACTCATATCGATTAGGATTAGTATTAGCCTTATAATATCTGACAGAAGAATAAACATATGTACTGGTTGGTTCTAAATAAATAGCACTAACTTAACCGTTATCACCCCATGTGAACGCTCGCTCCCTTATGATCGAATTTCCACTTTGCAACATTTGGACTGGTGGTTGAAGTTAAATCGAATTTAGCAATCATTGTACTCCCAGTTCCAGCATATCCACCAAAATAAAGATTGTTTGATGCGTCCAAAATTACAGAGTTAGAATAAGTATTTGACCAGTAAGGAGCACCATCAATAGAATCATCATAAAAAGCATTAATCAAAGATCCATCTGTTGTAGATATTAAAATAATATGTAATATCAGAGACGTAGGATTGCTGATTAATGCAGCTG